AAATTGCACTCAACAGGAGAGAACTTATGACCTCCCGGGTGAGAGCGAGGGCACTACCACTACTCCGCGGCGACTCTGAAAGCCTGGAATAGCACGGTTCATATGTAATGCTTTACTTTAGCCAACTTTGACTGCTCACAACTTCCTTGGCAGGTTCATTTTGCAGTTTTAGTTTCCATATTTGTAATCAGCGTTTGAAGCTCTATCGATATATCTGGGTCTCAATTCAAAGTTCCATGGGAAGTTGAATGCCTTCCCTGGTTAGATCTTGAAGTGTTTAGTTGTATTGAGACTGGAAAAATTCGGTTTAATTGATGGACTGCGAACCCATGTGAAGGCAGTCTTAGTCACCCCAACAAGGAAACTGGCTACATACCGCTGTAATGTGATGATTCATTTTTCCATCAACCTTTGTCTTCACTTTTCTTCCTCTTGCTTTCTTCTACTCTTTTTGAACGAAAACCCTGAAAGTGAAGTGCGTATCTATTCCATTTGCCGTCTTTATCGCACAAGTGCTACCTATTGACCTTTGTCGGCGCCATTTGTAGACGCGTAGATTCCCTGGCTGCCCACCGATTGGCAGGGCAAGGGACAAATGTAGGAGCAGAAGTCAAACGGGCGACCGAAATACATAAACATCTCGATAATTACGGGGAAATAGCATGCGTTTCTCTGCCTCTCTGTCGCTCAACCCTCTTCACTACACTGGGCCTTTTGCGCTTTCACTGATAACATACAGGTACTGTGGCCAGTTATCGCTAACTTCGCCCTTATCTCAGTTTTGTTTTGGTTTCTGTCCGATATTGTTATTGCATTAACGGCTCTCTCATGGGAATGTATCGATAAATCGATATCAGAGAACAAGTGAGCGTTATCGCCAACCCTGAACCTGCTTTGGCGTAGTTCATTAACAGGTAGCAGATTGTCTTTCTCTTTTGTTTTCTGACAAACACGCTTTTGTAGAAGCGAAGGAGCACTTTTTGGGTCGATCGACATAGGGGAGGGGTGGTATGGTGCAATACTTCGTCCAAACTACAGTAATACCAATTTTTGGATGGCGGGGAAACTCCCTGTGGGATAACCATTTCGCTGGTGCGCACGGGAATGTAGGTAACTATAACTTTTTCTGTACTTTGTAAATGTCCATACTCTTCTCCCTCCCCCCCCCTCTCCTCCTCCTCCTCCTTTCCAGTAGACACTATTCTTCTTTCCTTTCTCGGCACACCTCTTTTCATTCCATATAGTATGCGCAAGTCACTCGTACTTTTTGTGTTCAATTGTTGGGCCCTTACCGTTTATTGCAGACGCTAGTGTGTTTGTCCAACAAACATGGTATCACAATCAAACAAATCGCGAAGTGTCACCTAACGGTCGCGATTTTTTTGAGCGATTTCCATGTGTGCGGCGCGTTTCCTGCAAGTTTACGGTAGGCGATCAGTCCGAGGAACAGAGTGCACATCGGTTAGGGCCATTTGAAGCACTATGTTTGCTGGACTGGGGTATAACTCAATCGTACTGCTGGTAATTTAAATACTTATCTGCGGGGTCTGCTCTTGATTTTAAGGAATTCGTAGGTGGCGATTTGAGGACAAAAGAAAAGGGTTGCTCCTGCCTCTGACCGCCCACTCTACCGACCACTTTTTGGAGTTTTACGGAAGCTTGAAAATGTATCATGTGGACCTATTTAACACCTCATCAAAGCGTTGAAAAGAAAAGGCCGTGGAGGAACCCTCTTCGTAAATGAGGTGGGGCTTTCCATTTTTAAATTTTTCTTTGAGTGATGTGTGATGGTTGATCCTGATGAAGACCGTCTCCACGTTTTTACTGATCAATGACTCATCTCCCAGGTCAAAACTCGGCGGGAGGTTTCACTAAAGACACTAAGAGTAAGGGTCCTACCCCAGAAAGGGCGCTACATACGGTTCTAGGAAGAACCGTGATCGATCACTAGTTTTCTGGGTCCGCATGCTATTTTTAATTTGCTTCTGTGATCCACAATATTGACGGTGTCCAATTTCCAAAAGGAAGGAAAAATGCTGATGATCAACCCAAGTTCGTTTCTCGTTTCCACACGCTTTTTCTATTCTGAAGATTTCGAGGGTTACAAGGTTCATTTGATTCGAGTTCCTCATTAAGTGTGGGCGCTAAGTAGAATAAATGATTTTCTTGGTGATTTCGACTGGTGACTAATTCTAAGGCATGTTGTTTTGCGGTCTCCGGGCGCCGTTAACCCGTTTCCTAGTGTTTTCATGTGGCAACGGTGCGGTCGCATTCACCGTTCCCGCTTCCTTGCCACTTCGGCGACCTTTAAGATGACTGGCCCTAAGGTTTTTCCAGAGATTTCAGAACAACTCTCAAAGTTCACTTGCATAATATATCTAGCCGACAGAATCAAGAACATACTTCTTTGTGCACGTTACAGTAACCCTGAAGGTTCATTTTCCCTATACTGTTAGTGTCAATCGATAATCGATCGGTCAGCCCGCTTGGTGCATCCTTTTCAGCGTCACCGCCGTTTTTATTGTTATTTTAATCGTTTGCCTTTCGTTTCTATGTCGTAAAAGTCGTCCCCCCCGTCGTGCGCGAGACTTCAACGCTTCACGTGAAGGTTTAAGGTGGCGAGCGTTGGGCTCTTCAATTCCGAGTCCATGTATCTGCACTGAAACAGCTAACGTCCAAGTTACTTCGTTGATCGTTTCGTCCCGCCTTCCATTCGATCGTAACAGCAATGTTGTCAGGAACTGGATGTGTACGTTGCAAAAAATAAGCACTTTATTTTTGTTAGAGCAAAACAAACTTAAACAAAGAACGGGAGTGAGAGTGTGAGAAAGTGTGTCATATTGTCTGGTTTCGGATCAATGCCTTCACTTTCAGGCGCAATGTCGCTTACGCGATCAGCACGACACTAAGTTGAGTATGAACGAGCCGCGTTCGGTGAATCGAGTGGTGGCGTCGCTGATCAGAAGCATTGAAGACAGTCGATATTCGGCTCCTGACAGGCCAGCACATCTATGCGTCGAAAATGTAGGACAGGTGTGATTTCAATTCAGATTTCTCATAGCTCAAACCTTTTGCATGCACCGAAGTAACCATCACCTCCCGGCTTCTCTTTGGGACGAGTCGGTTATGTAGGTGAAACGACTCGATAGATACTCTCTTTAGTAATAGTATAAATTGCAAATCGATGACCATCTAAACACTCTATTGATTTTTTGAAGACCCATTCGTCCCATATTGATCTTTTCGAGACTCGTTCAGCTCAAATCCGTAATTCAGCCTTGTACAATCCGTAATTCAGCCTTGTACAATTTCTTAGTAAAAGCCGCTTTCGTGACCACTGCTTTTTCGTAACTCTTCACTTCTGGCCCATTAAACCCTTGCACAGGGCTACCACTTTTCGCGGTTGTTAGACTACCAACCGGTCGTAGAGCCCGTTCCTCACTCTCTTACAGTTTGTACATTCCCTTTCACAATTCAACGTTCAAGTCCAGAGAATAGAAGAGTTTTGACATTTATTCGGTTTTGCCATATTCTACTCAAAACTGTGAAGCACCCGTCCAGACCTCCAGATCCCATTGTTACGTACCTTTTTAGTACGAACGATTTTGACTTTGATTTCATCGATTCGAAAATTTGATTATACATGACATCAAAATCTGTAGAAACGACGCGGGAAGTGTTTGAGAATTCTAACCCAATGCTCACGTGGATCGCAAAATTCGTTCTCACAGTATCGCGATAGCAGTCCGCTTATTCAATGTTCCATGTCCTTTTATAGTTCAAAATTTAAGACTATTCTGAGATAGGTTTTCCGTTTTCACAATGATTTCTATTAGTTTACCCTCATTTAAAGAATCACAGGCAATTTTTCATTTTTGCTTTTTTTTATTTCTCTAAAATGCTTGCCCATCCAAACTTACATCACCATTATCTACAAATCATTGTCTATGCATGAGAAACTAGTCGCTGCCTTTCTTATGAATTGTGATTCTTGGAATTCCGTAAATTCTGATAGAAGAAAAATCAGATGTCAGCAATGAGATCACGCCACTTACCAGGGGCCGTAAGGTATGCTTCCCCGAATGGTTGCGGGGACGAAAGTCCCTTTAAATTTTTTGTTTTGAACGATACTGTTTCTTTATTTTCAATGCATGCTTACTTTAAGCTACACACATATATTAGATGTAGGCCCTTTATCAGGACAATCCCAGTTGGGACTACAGAGAAAATTTAAAGGAACTTTCGTCCCCTAACCCTTCGGGGAAGCATACCTTACAGGCAGGACTGAGACTTTTAGGGACTAAACTCGTGCTAAGCTTTTTAAGAGCGTCACCGTCAGAACTTGCAATAGACTTGATTATAGAGTGTAAGGGGTGTGTGACAAAAAAGCAGCCCCACTGTGGTGTCACACCTTTTTCACCAGTTTTTTAATCAAAGTCTATTTGTAAGGGTTACTGACGGTCCTAATCATGAATATGGTACTAATTATTCATGCTAACTCCATTTTGCGCGAATTTTGAAACGTCAACTCGAAATGCAAAAATTTGTCACCACGAGGAATCGAACTAGGGACCCCTTTTCTGGTATTCAGAGGGCCGTTCAGGCGAAATAACTTCGGCCACAGTTCTGTAGTTCTTGTATGTGCCCCTATATCATGCAAGAAACCGTTTTGAAAAAGCTTGGCACACCCTGAACGACCTTCCTTGTTAGAGCAAATTTCTTCCTGTGGAAAGATGCTAGACGGTGGATTAGGTGATCGTTTGTTGACTTGAGGTTAGCGCTACACGGCAGAGGTGGATAGTTGTCAGCCGGGAATCCATTTTTCACGAACCTTTTCCGTAAGGTAGGGTCAAGACAGTTTAGAAAAGCAGACTTTGTTTTTGCTTCACTTCAATCTGAAGGCAGATGAACATGTCAGTTTGTAACAGTGATCGTCTATCACTGACCTACAGTACCTGAGACGTGTTCCGCTCCAGCACGAAAGCTTCCTAGTTGCTCTCTTTCAACACACAGAATAATCGAATTCGGAAGGAGTTTAGGCCTTCACTGCCAGAACTAGCTAGTCTTTCAAATTAGCTTCTGCCCTTGTGGATTTGTTAGAACACTGCACCCACTCCACATCACCCGTAAGTATGCTGAATGGGTATTGGAAGGAACTATAGGGAAACCATTAGGAAGATGACGATGTCAGATCGTGTTCTGAGATGATTTGATTTCAGACCATGTGAGATAAGAACTCCATCTTTACAAATCATCACAACTCTACAGAGATGTAGAGTGACTCAGTGCTGGATCTTGATACAGTGGGAGCGCTTTGACAAATAACGGTCACTCTCCCCAGAATCCTTTCCGGTACGTCGGGATGGAAGTATCGGGATTGCCAATCACAGGGGGTTGGAGGCGGGAGTCATCGCAAATAAAAAAAGCCACTATGAGTAGAGCAAACCACGGTGCATCATGGACTTGATGGGGCGCCCTCGCCTATCTCTGGTTGATCTCTATTTATGTTGGCGTGTGGAAGCATCCAATCAAGGCCGATAAAAATAGGTTCTGGAAAAATGAAAGTAATAACTACGGAAAGCAGCGTGTTGAGTCAACTAATTATTAAAATAGGCCAATTTGGCTGCTTCTTCGAGAAATATGTTCCACTGGTTTCCAATTACTGCTTCAAAAATTTCCAGAAATATGTCGAAGACATTTTTCTAGAAATTTTTGAAGCAGTAATTGGAAACCGTTGACGCCTGAACGAACCTCCTCCAAAAGTGCTCATCCTCCTCAATAAGAAAATATGGAAAATAAAGAGAGCAGGTTTTGCTCCTCCATCTGTTGGGTACATTTCATGATGGAATGACTAGAAGATGTAGGCCATTTCATAAACGCGAAGTACGATAATTTTCGTTCCAGGACGCTGCCACACAGACATCGCCATCCTCTATCTCTCGTTCTTCGTCTTTTGATTGGATTAACGAGCCCTCCGAAGTTGGATTACGTGATCTGACGACGCCAATCGGCACACCTCGGTAAGTCATTGCAAGCATACTTCACTCGCGCAGCTTTGTAGAGACCGAGTGAAGGTCTATGCCAGGACGAAAATGGTGGCTTTTATCAGTAGGAAAAGTATAAGTCCTCTTTCCGAGGCGTTGTTAGCCCAGGTTCCCAGTCTGTATTGCCCTTCAAAAAATTTGAGCTTTTTGCTTGCCCTACGATTATTGCGCATCCGTAGAGCTAGAGGCGTCTGTTGGGTGCCGACAAGGCTCGTTTCTCACATCTGGACGCTAATTTTTATCCATCCGCTTCAAAACGCGGACGGCAATTTTCTTCATACTTCTCGCACTCACTAATCGCTGACTCTTGGATGGCAATACATTCATTCCCCTTCTCATTTGCCTTTGAATCATGCAGATTGAACAGTTTTTTGAAAAATAAAAGGTTACTCCGTGTTTCTTCCTGCTGTCAGGAAATATCCACTTTGTTCATTTTTTGACAGAATCTCTATCGTCAGTTCATTCGGTAGTACTAGAGAATTCAAATGGAATGCCAAGCAGGACGAAAGTTTACAATTGGCCTTGGCTGGTGGCTGGTGGCTTTTGGCTAACTGATGAATCCAGAGTCTAGAAGGACAGTCTTTCGAGAAATACTATAATATTTTTCCCCTTGAAAAAGAACTTCCCTATCGGATATCAGCGCTCAGTTTGAGCTTTAGGTCACAAGTTCTGATAGACTAGATCACCTTTCTTCTGTATATCTTTCATTTCTTTCGTCTTCTTTCTTGATCAGTCACCAACTGTATGCCCGTTTATTTGTTCTATCTTCCCGACCATTTTCAAACCCCAAAGGCCCTGTACGTGCATATGCTCCGATTTCTCACTCCCCTCTTCTCCATGTCCTGTATTCGATCTCACTAATCAGAAAGCTTTACATGGAATTTTGGATGAGAACCTAGGCGAATGAAAGGGTCAGAATCCAGTGGTGAATATTGGAGATCAACTGCTGAACTTGAACTTGTCTAGGCACGGGTAGCAGTCAAGATGCCAGAAATGTAGCAAAAAATCAAGTTGTGGCACCAAAAGTCGCTTCCTACGGGCACAATTTCAGAAGAGAATGCCATATTCGCGATTAGGCAACTTATTTACCCCTCCTGCAGGCGATGTTTCGGAAAAAAAAATTAAAAATACTGTTAACAAGTGGATTAGGTCTCACCACCTATTAAGTATGTCCTGACGCTGCATTTCCTACCAACTTTTATCGCTGATATCTTGTCGTGGGAATGTTCACCGTACCCAGTGCGTGTATTCGTATATGTATACTAGACCACTGCTACGACTTACCTTCTGACCTATCGGTATCTGACGATGGAGATACAAAGTTCCTTGTAAACATGAATCGGCTTTCAGAATTCAAGAAGAGGCCTTAGACACGGGTTGGACATAAACGAGACTAATAGGGATTAACAGTCGCGAAATACTTGGATCCCCCTTCACAACCCCCCCCCTTCATTCTCCAAATATCGCCGCTATAACCCGTTTTGATGCACTGCGATTAGCCATTGGATATTTGAGGATCGTTGTGGTTGAAGACATTGAGAGTTTATGGCGGGCCAGGTGGCAGGCCCGTCTGCGCCGTAGCGATTACATTACAATACTCCGGCGGCACTATGTCCCAATGTCTCTGCCTTTTTCTACTTCCTACTTGTCGCCAATAGCGCTTCACGCGAAACTTTCTCTTGTGCTTTACAGATTTACTACAATATCTATAGAGCTAGTAATTGATGTATAACTATAGCGATTGATGTATACCTTCTCGACATTGCATAGTCTGGGCGCTATCACAAAATACGGGGGCATCGTTCAGGATTGAAGGGGGCAGGAACATCGGGGAAATGGAAATTGCTCAGACTGCCTGGAGCTTCTAATCTTTCTCCCAGGGCTTAGTCCCGATTTTGACGAAAAGGAGATATTTCACGCGATATCTAATGCGCTGCTACCACAGCACCCCCGTATCTTGCGATAGCGCCCATAGTTAGTTTCGTTCCATGGTGTGACTTCTGTCTTATGTAAAAAATGTATGGTAATGAACAATGCGAACTATCCGCATCTAGAATTGTTCGCAGGGCGGTACTGACTGTCGCCTGAACTGCTCAAAGCTTCCTGTACTGGAAATTAACTCAGCCTCATTCTCAAAGATACTACTAGTTTTCATGATAAGTAACATCCGATTTTTGAATTTCCCCAAACTTATTGCAATATTTTGTTTTCCTGCCACTTTCTGGGTAAGAACTCTGCTGACCTTCATGTTACGGGATTGGACCGTCTGTGGATGTTTTTGGAAAGTGCTGAAGCCTTGTTTCAAGGCGTAGTTGCCTCTGTCTACCATTTCCTTTAGAACTACTCAATGAATGGAGATGGACGAAATTTTTGTGGTTGGAACCCAGACGGATAGAAATAACGGGGTCCGTCGTCTTTGGCTCCGAAAATATCAGGAGGGTAATGACGCCT